TTTTCCTATAGATAAATTAGATAATAAAATTGAAATGTATGGAGCTTCAACATATTACAGACAAATAACAGAAAAAGTGGCCTTATTTTTACTAACATAATATAAGAAAAGATATATATTTCATTTTTCCAAGTACACATGGTATATATAAGACAGACATACATATGCATAGAAAAAACAAAAAAGCTGAAAATGGAACATAATTATCGAAACATATACAAATACAGTCAAAATAGTTTCAAAAGTAATATTAAAAGAAAACATTACTCACTTTTCTTCATGATTTAAAAATTCACAGAGTGAATGAAATGTCCTCAATTATTTTTTAAACTTTTTGTGATCGGGAATATCTTTAATTTTTCCTAAAAGGTGGTTGAGAGCCATTGTAAGAGTAATAAACAGTAAGACATAAATAAACAAGACATTGAATTTACAAGTAGAACAGGTAATAAATTGGAAAAGTTAGGCAAAAATAAAGACGAAACGTCCAAACTCGAAAAATCAGGAGTATTTAAATTGAACTGGGAAAATTGCCCTAAAGTATGTATTGGTCAAACTGGCAGAACATTCAGTAATCGCATCCAGGAACATCATTTGAACTATGTTAATGAGAGAACAAGTTCAAATCATATTTTAGAAAAAAATCATATGTTTTGAAAATTTGCACATACAAAATAAATGTTTTGGAGCTGAATCATTTATATTTTTTAAGAGTGATGCTTTTCTACTAGATATTCTTGTATTTGAATATATTTTTCTTTTTATGTAGTTAAGTTAGATAATTTCATCTCAAAAACAAGTGTTGGCTCACTTATTGGATAGGTATCATTCATGCAAAAAATTGTATTTGCTGTATGCATTATTTTTCATACAGTAATTTATATACAGGGTGGGGCACCGAAAACGAAACAGATCGAATATCTTCAAAATACATGTGTTCTGAAGAAAATGCAAAAACACGTTGATTTGTAATCCAAGGGTGACATCTTCCTATCATAACCTCAACTGTCATATCTCTCGGTGACTATCATCCAAACAATTTGAGTTGGGAAAGTAGTAAGTGTGACACATCGTTGAAAACGTAATTTTATAAGGAATTCAGCCATGTTGATTTAAGCTACCTGACTTTCGATTTTGGCGCCTTCTTGCGGGAAAAAACCTGTTTCGTATTCCAAATTACGATACTTCATTCGCAAACTAATTTGACATAAATTCAGTGACAATGCATTATAGAATTTCTCTAGGGGAAAAACAAGATGGCGGCTTCACAATGGCGGACAAGATTTGCAATTATGGTTCGATTTGATTCAAAATTGATAAGTGGCGGTTTGCAGTGTCGGAAATTATGAATTGTTTTTCAATGCAAAAAAATCAAGATAGTGGCTCCAAAATGGCGGACGAAATTTGTAATTATGGTTCGATTTAACCCGACACCGAAAACGAATTGTTCAAAACACATGTGTTCTGAACATAGGTAATGCAAAAACACTTCAATCTTAAATCCAAGGGGGACAAATCTTATCGTTACCTCAACTGTCATACTTCTCTCCCCACCCCTTGTTCATTTATATAATTTGATTAGTGAAAGTACTAAAGGTGACACAGCATTGAAAAGGTAATTTCATAAGGAATTCAGATATGTGAGTGTTCGCTACTTAACTTTTCATTTTGGCGCTCGATTGCAGGAAAAACAACTGTTTCGTTTTCCAATTCACATTTTATTTGAAAAGTAATATGAACAATTCACGAAAAAAGAACAACAGTTGAAAAAATCATCGCAAACTACTTTAATTCACAGTAGATGCTCAAAGTGTTCGCCATGAACTGCCATAAATGAGTATAAGTTATTCTCGAAAGGGGTGGGGAGAGAAGTATGACAGTTGAGGTAACGATAAGGTTTGTCCCCTTGGATTTAAAATTGACGTGTTTTTGCATTATGTTCACAGCACATGTGTTTCAAGCAACTCGTTTTCGGTGTCGGGTTGAATCGAACCATAATTACAAATTTCGTCCGCCATTTTGGAGCCACATCTTGTTTTTTTGCATTGAAAAACAATTCATAATTTCCGACCCTGAAAACCACAAGTTAACTAAAATTGACATGGCTGAATTTCTTATAAAATTACCTTTTCAACGATGCATCACACTTACTACTTTCCCTATTCAAATTGTTTGGGTGATAGTCACCGAGAGGTGTGGGAAGAGGTATGACAGTTGAGGTTATGATAGGAAGATGTCCTCCTTGGATTACAAATAGACGTATTTTTTAATTTTTTTCAGAACACATATGTTTTGAAGATATTCGATCTGTTTCGTTTTCGGTGTCCCACCCTGTATATTATATCTCACTTTGCAACAAAAACTGACTATAAACTATTATATATGTGTGTTCGGATAGGTTTCCGCGGTCAGTAGTATGTTGTCGTTGAGTTCGGATTGAACCGCGTCTGTAGTTTTGTATTCGACGTTTCGGCTCCCATTTTGAAGCCATTCTCAAGAATTTGAAAGAATTTGATGTGACTTGACGCCGGGGCCTCAATCTGCCTACTCACCAGGTGTTGTCATGAGTTCTCTCTAAGGTCTCAATCTGCCTACTCCTTAGATTGAACTGAGGTGTCGATGTGTGTTCAGTTGTAGTTATATCGGTGTAAATTACTGAAGTGGAAATTTGGGGGCGGGAAATGTGGGGGCTGGGCTTCGGGTGATTACCATCACCGGGAGTCTTGGTGGAGGTGAGCATCGGGAAATTAGGGGTTTCCAGGCAGTTTGGAAGTCTATGACCGTCATCACGTTTGTTCAGCCAATTTTGTCACTTACATCTTTAATGCAGGGAAGAAAAGCTTTGTGGGGAAGCTGTTGTCTTTTGGATCTTTGGAACTGGACGGAGAAGTTTGTTGACGACGGATGGATCTTTCAATTTGATGGTCTGTTAATTCATTTTGAAGAAGAGCTGATTTGAGTTAGGCCGGCTCTTGTGGTTTGTTGTGGTGGTCTGTGAGGTTGATAGATCTGTGGATGAGAGAATTCAAGACGGGGTTGGTTTGTGCTGGATGATGGTGGGAGTTTGCGTTGAGGTATCTGTTTGTGTATGTGTGTTGGTTTTCTGTAGACCGTGTGGGTGAAGGAGTTATTGTCCCTTCTTTTGGACAGTGAATTGATAATTGATGTAAATATTCAGGAAATACACACGAGAATGAGTTGTTGATTCCTTCAGCTAAGGTTGCTAAAGCATTCTCTGGTAGATGTAGGAGGACCTTCGCATCATCCAAACCTTATGTATTTTTTGTATTTGTTATCGAGAGTGTCAACTATATCATATGATTCAGCGGAGAAAAAATGATTCTCTAACAGCGATATTTTTTTATGCGGACCTTCTTGTCGCAAAATATTACCGGTAATATTATCGACTAATTGCAATAATAGTTGATAAACAGGTAACTTTGTGTAGATGATTGACTAGAAGTTGGCAATATACATTTGTTTTCAACTTACACTGCGGTCTTTGAAGCGGAACCCAATTTAATATATAGTATTCATAAGATCTCTTCGTTCTTGTCAATAGTAGTTTCGATAGTATGGTACGTTTTCTGAGTTTCGAACACGAATTCTTTATTTTTTAAGCTTTTGTTTCATCTAGCTGCAGGGGAAGAAAGATATCGGCCTCCTTGGAGAGCCGCGTTTTTCTTTGATATTCTGTCTATCCCATACATGGCCAGCGATGAAGTTTCCATTACAAACAACTATGATCATTTTAAAGACCATGAAGAGTAACTCAAGTAAGGGTAATAGGTTCATGAATTTTATCTGGGTAATGACTGTTATGAAGATGGATCATCTAAGCTAGATAGTAACGATCTGACGTGCTTCATGAAACGACCATCGAAAATAAATCATTTCGAATAAAATCACCTCAGAATTTAAATTTCACTCACTGATGTCCTAGATATGGTCATCAAGCAACTTTTCAACCTTTTGAGACAACAAAAAAATTAATTTATATTTTCCTTCCACATCTGAACATACTAATAATGTCTGCCTTTCAATTACAGACAAAGGAGCTACGTCATAAAACGAATCATAAGTGCCTTGATGTGAGCAGTTCCAAAGAATTTACCGAAGGATTAGTTATCACTGATTGCAATGGAAAAAAAACGCAAAGATGGAGTATGGAGTCTGTACCCTGGAAGTGACTGTGAGAAAAGACACATTCGGAATTTTTAGTGTAATTACATGACTGACATAATAACCCAATCAATGAAGAACTATGTTTGTATTTTTATGACTACTTCAATAATAAAATTCTATAATAAATGTTCAGTATTT